CTCCTTCCTTCCATACAAACTGAACTTCTCATATAGCTTATCTCTGGAACTACTTACGCTAACGTCCTAAAATTCTACACAGCTACCTATGTTATANTAACGTCCTGAAATTCTACACAGCTACATATGTTATCAATACCGTAGTTATGGCGAAAAGTGGTAATTATTGGAAAGGCTGGATCGATATACATTTACGTAAACGCGCAAGTATCATTCGATTGGGAACCATTTTCTCCTAGATTTCTAAATTCCATTGAACTATTGTAACTTTGTCTTTAATTTTCAGCAAGGTAAAATTTATGTGAAAATTGTGAGGAATTTTTTTAAATTTTTCACAAAGAATGGAGCTTTGATTTTACGAGTTTCGCTATAAACTGTCCTATCCTATTTTCATAAAATAATAGCTGAATAGAGTTCCGTCAAATTGTCGGAGGTTATCTTACATACATATATGGTCCAATTACATGCTACTATAAAACTCGCTAGGTGGTGCTGGAGTAGAGTTATTTATAAAAATCGTATTTATTAACCGATTCCGTTCAAAAATTAAATGTGAGCTATGTACCTGTATGATGGAAAATTCTTTTGATAAAAATTTACCCGATTAGTACAGCTGGAGTTAAGGTTGAAATTCATAACACGTATTCATTTTATGGTAAGCAATGGTTTTGCAGAAAATGAACCCAATGGATGGCGCTGCAGCCGAAATGTATAAAAACCACGTGTGGTTGGTCTGCTTTGGACCTATGTTTAAGTTATACGAATTTAATTTTCAGATGTCTAAATGAAGGATGGAGTTAAGTTTTTCTGACGCCCTCATGCACGATAATGCGGTCTTGCATCTACCCAGAAATCAGCTCATAAATTTTACTACGAATTGGAAAAGTGGTGAATTAACAAAGAAAGATCGCCGTAGGTATATCAATTGCTTCATTTGAAAGATACTTAAGAGATCACACGACTCATTTAGCAATGTACCGGAAAACTTTTCATCCTGTGGGGCAGCGAGGATTCTTGGCCCTCCTATAAAGAAAACGCACTTCTGTGCTCTTGAGTTTCCCTATAAGAACTTTTATTGGCATACGCATCGCACCAATGTTGTAGTTGCAAGATCATACAAAAAGATTACGCATGCTTGGCAGAGATCTCACAGGTGGAAATAAGACTATCAGTAAAGCTCATGACACCAAAAGGGATTGGTATTCCATATGGTATCACAGCGTTACTATTATTGGCCTATGTGTGAGGAGGATACTGCGCCTTAGTGGTTTCAACTTAAATCAAAAACTTTGACTTTACAGACTAATTTTGTTTTTAAACGCTCTTTTACATTGGCTAACGCAAAAGCTCTTATAAGTACCTATAAAATATTTGCTAGTACCTAATAAATATTTGCGAATTCATCACACAATTTCTTTTGAATATTTTTGTGAGAAATAATGTCGAATACAGAGTCCTCATTTTCGCCGCGATTTTAAACCTAATTTGAATGTATTTCACACAGAAAATGGGGATTATGTGGTACACCCGGTATACATGACTTCACATAGATATTCCAACTGTATTTCAGAAAACCTCAACAGCGGTTATCTATTTCAGAAATAGTCAAATGTATTTCCGATATTCCAGTTGTATTTCAGAAAACCTCAAATTTATTTCAGAAAACCATAAATGTGGGTGAATTCCAAAACGTCAA